CCGATTTAGCGATCAAATTTTATGACAAAGTAAAATACTCTACGCTATTTCTGTCGCTAAATAAAAAAGTCATAAAAATAAATCTTATTTTGGTCGCCAAATTCCGTCAAGCACTGGGTGGACCTAATCATCGACCAGCCGCTAATTGGCGACCAAATTAAATGTCGCTAAATCGGCCGCTAAATCAAAGTGCACCATAAATCTAATCCTGGCCGCTAAATCGGTCGCTAATTGTGACCGAATTGCTGAATCGGTCGCTAATTGCGACCAAATTAAAGTGGTCGCTAAATCGGTCGCTAATTGCGACCAAAATTAAATCGGTCGCTAAAGCGGTCAGCTAATTACGACAGAAAAATTCGATCGCTAATTTCGGTGGCTAAATGTGTTTTTTCTTGTAGTGTTTTTGAAGTTGTTAAAATAGATTTAAAAATATTAAATAAAATTTGGTATAATTTTGTTAAATATAAATATTTAAAAAATTATAAATAAATAAATTTTAATAATTTTCTCATACATGAAATATGAACTTACAGTCACTTTTATCTTCTATAATTTTCTACATATTTTCTTATCTTTTTAAATTTTTTTATCACATACTCAAATTATATTATTCATTTCAGTATTAAAATATTCGTATTCTTTTAAAAATTAAATTAAACAAAAATATTAATAAAAATCATTGGGGATATATTATTTATGTTATTCAAAGTTAATAGCTATGTTTTTAATAGTTTTATTGAGAAGCAATATGTAATATATATATATATTATGTAATTAATAGTGGGAACAAGAGAATTCACAAGGGATGTAAAATTAATAAAATTTATACTCTATTCATTTTTATTTAAGTTGTAGTGTGTTCATAACATTTTTAAAATGGAACATAAATAAAATAGTTAATTACAAATCATAAAAATAAAAAAAAAATGTTGGGCATGGGAAGTTGAGGTCACAAGATGAATCCTATATAATTACAAATCTTTAAAAAGAAGAAGAAGAAGAATAAGTCATTCACAAACTCGCAACCTCTCATCATTTATCTCCACTTATTATTTATGTATGCCTCAAAAATAAGTTTTGTTCAACCACAGATTCAAAACTTCTTTTTCTCACTCATCCAAAACACAATCAACACAATTTCCTGGGAAAATTTGAAAATAAAAGCATAAGAATAAAAACAGTTTTATTCCCTCATTTCTTAAGAAAACTCGACATCATAAGAGAAACTTCGTTTTAAACCTGATCTTACACAACCACAAACTCTCTTCGCCCAAAGTGAACCATTAATTTATTTATTTTCTTTCTGAATCTTCAAAAAGAAAAGAAAAGACAGAAACATAGTCCGTTCAATTTGGGTAGAATTTCATTTGTCATTTTCCTCGGAAATAAAATTTGTTCACGCATCTTTTAAGAAATATCTTTCCCTTTTGAATGAATATACACGACGAAAAATGACACACTAAAGTGGACAAATGAAGTCGAGAAGGTTCTTTATTTTTTGTGTTTTACATTATTTGATGGATGCTCACAGAAACATGACAGTCAAGATAAAAGAAAATAAAAATTAAAAAAAATTATAGCCTCATAAATATTTAAATTAATTTTCGTAATATATCCTCACCACGGATGTTAGCATTTGAGTTTTGTGATTTCTCTTTAAAGAATGTTTTAAATTCATAGCAATGGTGTAAATGTTTTTTTTTCTTAAAATATGTTAAAAACCTCCTCAGCAATGATGAAAAAGTTATTTTTAAAAAAAATATTTACTATATAATTGATAAATATTGATTTTTTTCCTAATTTAAATTTCCAATGAATAAATATGTACATAAATATAAATATATATATATATATATTAAGAAAAATAATATTATTTTGTTTAACAACGAGCATATCGATTATATAATATTTTTAGAATTAATTTCTAGATATTATTTATTTTAAAATTTTAATTTATTAATATTTAAAAAAAATCTCAAAAATTAAAAAGGTGAGTAAATATAAATTATCATTAAGGTTAACTTCTCGATAACTTGTGAAGAAACAAAATAAATAACATGTGTTAGTGATATTATAACCGTAAGATCGGTTACTAAAAATGTAAAAGTATACAAATGAAATTAATACTTATTATTTTTATTGTATTTGTATGTTTAAATATACATATAACTTTCTGGGTTGTGGTGTAGAAAAAATATGAATGAATAATATTTAGGGAGGATTTTAGGCATTTCCTGATTTGAATTTGTTTTGAAGAGTTGCGTAAAATTTTTGTGGTGCCAGTAGAGTGTGGTTGTGATTTGGGAAGAAATTTGACTAGGAAGCAATGTATGATCATTCATCTAAATTTATGGTCTTTTATTGCCCCACCTCAACCATTATCGTCTTTTATTGGATCCTCCTTCCAGTATAAAAGGAGAGCATAGACAAGACAACATAACATAACATAACACAGTCACATAGGTGTTGGTCTCAGGTAAAGATCCATCTTGTTCCCATACTCCTAGCTACATCATAAGAGGGACATGGCAACCCAGAATTTATGGCTGTGGAATCCCACTCAAGCAGTATGCACTAGGGTTCCATTAAGCACCAAATTGGCGCAAAAGACATCTCCTGCATATCCCAAAGTTAAGCGAGTTATCTGTGCAGAGAGCTCTCAGATAGCAGAACAAAATACTCGACGTTCAGCTAATTACAAGCCAAACCTCTGGAATTATCAATTTCTTCAATCTCTCGGAAATGATCCTAAGGTGATTCCTTCATTATGTACACGTATATATTATGTTTCACTTCGATGCGAGTGAAGTTTGAAAACTTAGTAAGTTTTTTCATTGTTATTTTAACTTAATGGCAGGTGAAAAAATTGGAAGAAAGAGCCTCAGAGATAGAGGAGGAGGTTCGACACATGATGACCAGTGTAGACATAGAGCCACTAAGCTTATTAGAATTGATCGACGATGTCCAACGCCTAGGATTGACCTACAAGTTTGAGGAGGACATAGTCAAAGCCCTCGATGAGAAAATTGTTTTGTTGAATGAAAATCAGAAACACAAAGGTGGAGTCCATGCTACTGCTCTCAGGTTTCGTTTACTTAGACAACATGGTTTTGAGATCTCTCAAGGTATTTTTATTTATATATATGCTACCTACTTAGAAACACATTATTAAATATACATTTTATTATTTGCTCATTTCGAGTTAGCATGATGCAGATGTGTTTAAGAACTTCAAGGACAAAGAAGGAGGCTTCGATATTGAACTCAAAAATGATGTGCAAGGGCTGTTGAGTCTATATGAGGCATCCTATCTTGGCTTTGAGGGAGAAAATCTGTTGGACGAGGCAAGGTTATTTTCAACGACACAACTCAAGAGCAACCTAAAAGAAGGAGTAAACACCAAATTGGCAGAACAAGTTAGTCATGCGCTTGAACTTCCTTACCACAGAAGAGTCCATAGACTAGAGGCACGACGGTATATTGACATATACGAACCGAAGGAATCCCACCATCAGTTACTACTCGAGCTTGCGAAGCTAGATTTTAATATGGTACAATCACAACACCAAAAGGAACTGCAAGAACTATCAAGGTTAAATACAAGAGTTTCAACTAATTATCTCATACTAAATTATATAACAGTGTGCATGAACTTTCTAACTAATGAACAATAAATTTGTAATGACTTGGTATAATCTATGGTAGGTGGTGGAGGGAGATGGGGTTGACAAACAAGCTAGACTTTGTCCGAGACAGATTAATGGAGGTATATTTCTGGGCGTTGGGAATGGCACCTCATCCTGATTTAAGTGAATGTCGTAAAGCTATCACTAAAATGTTTGGCCTAGTCACCATCATTGACGATGTATACGACGTTTATGGTACTTTGGACGAGTTAGAACTCTTCACTGATGCTGTTGAGAGGTTTGTAATGAATTTTTTCAGACTCTAATTAGTATTTTCTGTTAACAACATAATACTGATGTGTTTATATGCATATATGTTAGATGGAATGTGGATGCTGTGAATACACTTCCCGAGTACATGAAGTTGTGCTATTTAGCACTCTACAACGCAGTCAATGACACAACCTATAGCATCCTTAAAGAGAAGGGACATGGCAACCTTTCCTATCTATCAAAATCAGTACGTTATTGATCAAGTAATAAACTTGTTGTTTATACGTCGAACATGATTAGTTACTAAAATCATATATATTGATGGTGAATGGTGACAGTGGAGAGAGTTGTGCAAAGCATTCATCCAAGAAGCAAAATGGTCAAACAACAAGATCATTCCGGGGTTCCGGCAGTATCTGGAAAACGCATCAGTGTCCTCTTCCGGTGTGACTTTGCTTGTTCCTTCATACTTCTTGGTGTGCCAACAACAAGACATCACAGACCAAGCCCTTGAGTCTCTGACTAACTTCCGTGGCATTGTGCGCTCCTCATGCACCATTTTCAGACTCTGCAACGATCTGGCTACCTCCGCGGTATGTAATATATATAATTCAGCAGCCTTGGATTGATTTGTATGTAACACAACTGTTAAAATTCAATTGAATTACTGCAGGACGAGTTAGAGAGGGGTGAGACAACAAATTCAATAACGTCCTACATGCATGAGAATGGCACTTATGAGGAAGAAACACGAGAGGAGTTGAGTATTTTGATCGATGGAGAGTGGAAGAAGATGAACCAAGAGCGAGTTTTGGATTCGGCACTTCCAAAATCTTTCGTAGAAATTGCCATTAACATGGCCCGTGTTTCCCATTGCACGTACCAATATGGAGACGGACTTGGCAGACCAGACTACACCACAAACAACATTAAATTGCTACTTGTAGACCCTCTTCCCATTCATTAACTATTAGTCACAACTTAATAATAATATACACACTTCTATACAACTATTATTCTTGTTTTTGTTTTTAAATATTATATATTCATCTCGTATATAGTTAGAGTATATTCTTTCTTCAATTTATTCAATCCAAACATAAAAATTTAAATTAAATAATCAGCTTAGTTTAACTTTTATTCAATATAAAATTCACACCAAGTTTTTAAATATAACTTTATACATTTTCTTCTATTCTAAATCTATAACTTTATACACCAACTAATATTCTCCAATCATATTTAATATCACACATTAATAATATTATTAAGGCAGAACTCCAAATACAATTGAAAATACCTATCTACAATATCGTGTGTAAGTTTTTTTCTCTTGTTATTATTTATCCCTACAAGCAATTAAATTTTATAAAAGAACTAAATTAGATATGAATGTATTTATAATAATCAATATTTTTTAAATAAATATACATTTAACTAATATAACTTTTATAATCAATATTTTTTAATATACCAATTAAAAAAATAATAAGTATATACGAAAAGTATATCGATTTTACAGAAATAATGTAGTTTTGTAATCCATGAATTTATAATTTTATGTAATTTTGTCATATATTGTGCTTTACTAATTTCAATAATAAATTGGTAGTTTGTTTTTTAAAAATTATTTTGGTACAAATGAGTTTTAAAGTTTAATATTTTTAGAATTAATTACGTATTGTTTGATTTGATTGAAGTCCATAATCATATGAAGCTGGGATTAAAGTTTTAAAGAAGTAAGGTTGGGATTAAAGTTCACCCTAAACAATCCGTAATCAAACTTCTTACTCAACCCAACTTGTTTAAATTTATACGATTCAATCACATCAACTTATATTTTATACAGTCCAACTTGTTATGTTTATTCAATTACGTATCCTTAAACTCGGTGTCTTTTTCCCCAAATGGTAGTTGAAGGTGGAATTAGTAATCACCCTGACTAACCCAAAAAAAAAAAACGATACTTAGAGCCCATGTGACCAGTTTATTTTATGTTGTCCTGCATCTCATATTTAAATAATGATACTGTCCTTATTATTGTAATAATATATATAAAATCATCCGTCATCTATCTTTCTATTAATTAAAAATATATATAAAATATAAATCATTACAATAATTATCAAGCTATAATTTATCTTTAGATAATTATTATCATAAAATATTCTTAAAATAATAATAATTTATTTTATTTAAAAATATCTATCACACCCTCTCGGTTAAAGCAGGAGGGTGACACGTATTTATACTGTTCTGGAAATCATCAAAAAGTATAGGAGGAAAATTTTTGGTGAAAATATAAACAATTTGATAGAGGGAAGAAAAAAAAAAAACCTGAACTTTGTCGCGAATAACTTTTTCACTTACAAAGTGTACATCCATATGAATATGTTTTGTACATTACAGGATTACCTGATAAATAAATGACACTCACGTTATCACAATACATTAATGTAGCTTTTTGAATTGGACAATGAAGCTCTAGAAGAAGATTTCAAATTCAACAAAATTCAGAATACAATATTAGGTACTCCTCTATATTCAACCTCAACATTAAAACGAGATAATATAGGATGTCATTTGGATAACCAAGAAATCAAGTTATCGTCGAGGAAAATACAATACCCAGATGTAAACCGTATAGTATCCGAACATCCACCTCAATATGCATATGTGTAAGAGAGGAGGTTTCTAATATTGAATTTGTACAAATGCAAGCCAAAATCAATAAATACCCTGAATGTAACGTAAAATACACTTGAGAGTATGCATGTGTTCTTTCTTGGAATCATGCATATAAAGACATACTTATTACACTACATAAGAAATGCCAGACATTATAAAAGTGAGATATTACAATGCTCCACTAAGATGTTTATACTTAGTAGGATCCTCGTAGAGAATGTTATTAAAAGCGCTAAATTTACATTTTATGCCAACTAGTGTGGGACAAGTTTTGCAATTAGTTATCTCTGTTCTTTTAAAAATTTCTTCTGCATATTTTTCTATGAGAGAAACATATTAGTTACATGACAGATAACTGTAATTTTCAAAGAATAACTTAGTAGACCAAGATCTTTCATAACAAACTCTGCATTCAATAATGATATAATAGACTTTCTAATTATAGTAAACCACCAGAATAATATCATCAACATAAAAAAAATATATGCAATATCAAACTCCTTATGATATATGAATAAATAATGATTGAATTTATTATATTTAAAATCGATCGTAACCATGTAATCTATAAACTGTTGGTACTAAGCACGAGGGACTTTAGTATAAATAAATATTATAAAACTTATTTCTAACAAAAATTTTAAAATATATTTTCAAAAATTACAATAAAAAGTAGTTATGGATTTTACTTTCCATAACGTATTTGTGGATTTATTTTTTTAAAATATATTTAGAAAAACTGATTTCAATTTTTTTTTAAATTCAAAAAATTTCCAAAATACATTTTTGTTCATATTATGTTTTCTAGATTGTATTTTTCATAAATGTATTCCAATTTTAGTAATATAAAATTTATTTCCTAATTATATTTTCTAAAATATATTCACTAAAAACACAAAATGAAAATCAATTCAAGAATTCAAAATACCACAAATAAATTAAATATACTTTTTTTACAATAACTTTGAATAAACAATGTATTACACTATTCAAAGTATAAATTATTAACAAATCTCTAACGTTAAAGTCAAAAAATGATGTTTTGAATGAAGGTGAGGAAACGAATGTGTATGAAGGTGAGACAGAAGAAGAAAATGAATATTTTTGACATTTTATATTGGGATAAAAAAAAACAAGAAGATGCTACCTTTATTTATTATTGTTGACATTTTATATTGGGATAAAAAAAACAAGAAGCTGCCGCCTTTATTTTAAACTTATTATTATTAGATACGTTAAGTCAAATAAAGTTAGCGCAATTTTTTCTTGCACTTTCATAATTTTTTTCACTCTTATAATTAAATTACATTCTAATTTACTCTTATATTTATTTTTAATTTGTATTAATTATTTATTATAGTATTAGTGTAATAAGGATTTTGACTGGATACAAATTTTGGAGTGGAGATTGAGAATATATTTTCAAAAAATATTTTTTAGAAACATGTTTTGGAAAATGGATTCTAAAATATATTTCCATAATTGATTTTTTTGGAAATGTTTAGTAGGGTCGGAATATATTTTCCAAATAAACATTTTAAAGTATATTTTAAACTCACCAAGTATTTTTGAAAGATTAATTCTACAAATATATTCAGAATTTACTCTTTAAAATATATTTCTGAAAATGTTATTTTGAAACACACTTTGAATTGTCTGAAAAAGCATTTTAGAACCCTTCATCGGAAATATTTTCATATTTGTTTTATAATCCATGAATTTATAATATTATATAATTTTTGTCATATATTGTGCGTTATTAACTTCAATAATAAATTGGTAGTTTGTTTTTTAATAAGTATTTTGGTACAAATGAGTTTTAAAGTTTAATATTTTTAAAATTAATTACGTATTGTTTGATTTGATTGAAGTCCATAATTATATGAAGCTGGGTTTAAGGTTTTAAATAAGTAAGGTTGGGATTAAAGTCCACCCTAAATAATCCTTAATCAAATATCTTTGATAATAATCACCCTAATTAAACTTCTTACTCAACCCAACTATTGTTTAAATTTATACGATTCAATCACATCAACTTATTTATATATTTTATAGAATCCAGTCCTATCAAACTATGTTTATTCAATTACATATCCATAAACTTGATATTTTTTTCTCCAAAGGGTAGTTGAAAATTTGTGGAATTAGTAATCACCATGATTAACCGGAAAAGAAAAAATAAATACGATAAGTTTGTGCGACCAGTTTATAAGTGATTGCTTCTTCTTAACCCAATATTTTCTTTGCATCTTTATAATGTAAAATGTAAAAAATGTCTTAAGTTGCTTTTTCTCTTTCCCGCCAGCCATTGTCGTTTATTGTTCTTCCCCGGACATTCATTCAATCATTATTTTCATTTTAAGATTATAAATTTGTTGATAATTTATGTTTTAAATTATATAATATATTAAGGTGCATTTAATTTGTATTTGTGATGTTCTAAATTGATGATTTTATAATACATTCATAAAAAATATAATCTGAAAACAAGCTTTAGATAGGTTAATTTGAAACTTATTTTCGAATTGTATTTTTTGAATATATATTTCAAAAAATACAATCTGAAAATAAATCTCGGATTGTTGAATTCTGAAATATTTTTAGAAAATAAAATCTGGAAATGGGTTTTAGAAAACATAATCCAAAACTTATTTTCAAATTGTATATTTTTTGAGATGTATTCTATAATTTTTGTAGAAAATTTCTAGAAATGTTCCACAATTAGTTTTCTGAAAATAAAATCTAAAAAAGAATTTTGGAAAATACAATATGGAAGGAAATATATGGAAACCTTGTAAAAATTTTCCAGATGTTCCGAAATCAGTTTTTAGAGATAATATTTATTTTAGATGAACATGGGGTGCAGAAAGAAAGGATGGGGTGCAGAAAAAATAGCCTTAAGTAAAAAAAATGAAGTTAGGCCCATGATGAATAGTTATAGTATTAAGTATTGGAATGGGCCCGAGGTAAATGGGCCTGGGGTAAGCCCAGAGGAGTGGGTAAAATATATATGAATGTGTTAAGGGCATAACTTCGTTAAGAAGTGGAGGAAGAGGAAAGCCAAGAGTGAAGTTGGAATGGCGGAAGAGAAGAGAAAGAGAAAAGCGAAAAGTGAAGGTACAGAGAATAAGAAGAGGAAGAAGATAAAGTCGAAAGAGAATGAATGTTGTTCAACATCGTCATCTTCATCAGAGCAGTTGAGTCTCCTTCAGTCGGCGATGGGTCTTCAGCTTTCATCGTTGGAGTTGGAATCCCTCAAACATAACTGCGTTCTTCATCTATCAAATCACTCAGATGTGCAAATATTGGGGGAAACTATCAAGGCAGCGTTTGGCGCCTCATGGAAAGAGGATCTCTGCCAAGGGAATCTTGTCCAGGGGAAAGTTAATGCTGGAAGCCCCGCGGTTCTCATTATAACCTCCTCTGCCCTCAGATGCATACAGCTTCTAAGGTTCGCTCTCTCTTACTATCTCCGCTCCTCGTTCCTTTTCATACCTAAACCCTAATTTTCTCTTGCAGGGGCTTTCGGTCTATCACTAACCAATGTCACGCTGCAAAGCTATTCGCAAAGCACATGAAGCTTCAGGAACAGGTACCTACACTACTCACTCTCTCTCCCTCTGTCCATATTAACCAACCAATCAACATCAACTACTTCGAATGTCTTGTTTTTCTTTTCTGTTTTCTTAATCTTCAATTATTTTGTTGGGATATCGATGGATTGAGTGAGGTTGTGCCAAATTCAACTTAGTGTCAGGTTGTCTACATGTTTTCCTTCTCGTTTTCGTCAAAACACGCATTCACTTATTTACAATTTTTATGGGCAACATAATTTGTGAAATTTAGTTGGGTTTCGATTCCATCCTGAGGGGGTATGGCCTGGGAGAGGGTAGAGGAGACAGCTGAAAATTGTCTTTTGGCTCTCATATGATAGGACACGCATAATTCTCTCCTTTTTTTCTCAATTCAATAATACATTTTCATCATTGCTTCTGCATTATCTTATTTTCTAGTTATCTTATTTTCTAGTTCCCGCCACTTCAACTTGGAAAATCTTCTTAATTCCTAAACCAGACCAAAATTCATAGGCATGTGGCTGACTAATCTGTTCACGCATTTTTAATGTTAAAATCTTTTAAATTTAATCTTTTTTCCTTTGGCCCCAGAAAACAATTTTGAATTTGCTTCTGCATATTTAAATTAATGTTTTGTTCGTCGCCAGTGCATGATTTCTTTTTCATTTAATTTCCTGATGTTTCCTTCATTTGCTTGATATTATAAATTGTGATTCTTCATCATGGCCTTCCATTGATTTTGCTTTATGTTCAATGCAGATTTCTTTGTTAAAGAACCGTGTTAACATTGCTAGCGGTACTCCAAGCAGGTTGGTCATCCCACATCATTTTGTTTAAGAAAGTTATTCTTTCCGACTAACCATCTGATTAAATATACTTATGATAACCAGTAGTTTAAAATCTTGGCATTGTTAGATTAGTAGTCATGTAAATTTTTCATATATCAATTTCAGGATAAAGAAGCTCATTGATGCTGAGGCGTTAGACCTTTCAAGGTTGCAAGTACTTGTGCTTGATATGCATCCTGATGTAAAAGGCTATTCATTGTTGACCCTTCCACAAGTCAGGTTTGGTTTTCGATTCTGTCTATATATATGTTCCATTTATATTTCTTAAAAGAAGTTAACTTGTGTCTCTTGTAAGTATTTTGCATGAATTAGATGAGGAGGATGATGGCACTGAATGTTACATGTACATATGACTGATTGACAGGGATGAATTCTTGGAGGTGTTCAAGAACTATTTTTATGAACCGATGATCCAGGGTGGCCTGCGTATTTGTCTTTATGGTTACCAGGCGGGTGCTGGTTTAAAGGGCAAACATAAACAAGGCCATACAATTCCTGATACATAACATCTCAAGTTCATCGTCCATTTTTTATTTAGACATGTATTCTGAAAGTCGATTATTTTATTACAATTCCATTTATCTTCAGATGACGGAATTGTTATCAGCGGAATGTTGTTGCCTTTGACCATGTAAGGGTGACATTTTTGTTGTAAGTGGTGGAGATACCATATAGAAAAGCACTTCTAATTAAATTACTATTAACGTGTTCCTTATCAATGAAATGGCGGGTGGAGATTCATACAAAGCGCTTTAAATAAACAAATAAATTACAAATGGATTTTCTTTTATATTGTCATAATAGGTCCTAGTGTTAGTAATATCTGTGTTTTGAGTGATTTTCATAAAAAAGTTACCATTGATACATTTTTTTCAGTGATTTCAATGCTTGTTTTAATTAAAAAAACGCTTTAAATTCCTTAACCAGATACACTTTTACACTGTTAAGCAGGATCCATGTTTAAATGTCTATATTCTACTACTGTCTCTGAGCCTATTTATTAAATTTTTTAGGAACTGTTATTTTATATAAAATTCTCTGCATTGTAATTTTACAAAAAATTAGTGTCACTAATTTAAGTGAACGTAATTTCTAAAAATTTGTGAAGTGGTTAAAAAGTGGTATATACGACGAAAGTAGAGGTAGATTTGGGTGTTTTTATTGTCTAATACTATTAAGTCTTAAAAAAAAAATGGATCAAACTGAACCAGATGGTTCAATCGAAATGGACCAAAAGGTTCAATTAAATTGGATCAATCAATTCAAATGGATTGCCATAAATTTTCCCAAATCTATTGAAGACATCTCAAACGTTGGATCTTAGCAAAATTCATAAATTTAATTCTTAGATTTTATAAAAAAAAAAAAAACTCTAGTCGAAACACAAAGATAAGGAATGGTGATAGTATTATAATTAAAAAAGATAAGAGTTATCTAAGACTATAAGTCATGAAAAAAATAATTTTATGGGATAAAATTTGACGAGAGCAAACTGTTTGATTGGACATGATGATTCAATCATACTGGACCAAACAGAAGTGAACCATATTAGATTAAATTGAATTGGATGCATTGAGTCAAGCTAAACGAAACTAAACAAGACCAAGTCCAGCTTGATTAGATGGAATCTAATTGAAACAAATCGAACTGATCTAAACAAGACTGAACCAGACTATACCAAATTGGATTGGATTAGATCAAACCAAACTAAATAATTCAATGGGACCGGATTGGAGTAAGTCAAATCATACCAAACCAAAACTGGACAAACAAATTTAAAGAAGACCGGACCAGACTTAACAAAATCAAACTTGATTGACTCATACCAAATCAAATTGAATGATTCAACTAGACTGCACGAAACAAAATTGAACCAAATCAAATAAGACCAAACCGAACAGTATTAAACTAAATAATTTAATCTGATCGAATCAAATCGAATTAAACCAACTAGACTAAATAAAATAAGATTGGATGAATCATATTAAACTTAATCAGACCAAACTAAACTAGACACCAAACCGAAAATAATCAAACCTAACCAAAAGGTAAATGTTTTTTTTTTTGTTATAAATTTTTTCAAGTATACTAAAGACATCTCAAACATTTTCTTTTTGTTATAAATTTTTTCTAGTCTATTAAAGACATATCAAATGTTGAGTCTTAACAAAGTTCATAAGCTTAAAACCTAGTTATTATAAGAAAAACTCCAAATCAAACACATATAAGAAACGGTGGAGTATTAAAATAAAATAAAATAAAATAAGTTTGAAGGAGAAAAAGAAATTGTGTTACAATTTAAGATTTAAGATTTAGAGTTACGTGGATCAAATCAAACTAAATCAAAATGAACTAAACTGAACCAATTAGACGAAATTAAACTAAACCAAATATATTATAACAAGCTCAAGTGAATAGTTTAATAAGACCAAATCAAATCAAATGGTTCAACTGAATCAAACCGAACTAAATCAATCCAAATTTAATCGAACCAGCTGATTCAATCGGAACAAATTGAACTGACTTATACGATTCAATAAAATCAGACAAAATCGAAACAAATTGAATTGGACCAAACTAAACTAAATCAAATCAAATCAAACCAAAAACTAAATTTACTTTTTCCTTATTAAAATTTTTCCAAGTCTACTAAAGATATCTCAGGGTCAAAGAATGGTGAGAGTATTAAAATTAAAAAGATAAGAATTATTTGAGACTTTAAATCTTAAAAGTAAAGAAAAATATGAGTTAAAATATGACATGATTGGATGGTTCAATTGAAATAGACAATTCAACCAAATTAAATCAAACTAAATCCGAGTCAAATGGTTGAATAAAATCTTGCTAGATGCTTCAATTAGATCAAATCAAACTATATTGCACTAGGTCGAACAAGAACAAAAAGTTCAATTATATTGAATTTGGTCAAATGGTTCAACCAAATCAAATTGAATCAGATGATTCAACCATATCAAACCGAAACAAATCAAACGAAATCACTTCACATAGTATAATCATGTTACAATAAATAAATTATATTTTAAGTTATAAGATATTAATATACAAATAATAAAATATAAACATGTGAGTTTTATAAGATTTCACAGATCAAACAAAATTTTAAAAATTCTTAAAAATTAAGGAAATAAATAAACTCATAAAGGAATACTATATAACTCTTGAAAAAAATTAATTTTATTTGAGACATTGATTCAACCATATTAGACTAGATAATACAACCAAATCAGATGGTTCAATCAAATCAAATCTTATAGTTCAATCAGATCGAATTAAAGTATTCAAGTTGATCAGACAAAACTCGACCTAACTTGACCAAATCAAATTAAACTAAATCGAATCAAAATGAATAAGACAAACCAAACTAACAAATGTCAAATCAGTTCGAACTAAACCAAACCAATCTTGACAAAATTGAACAGTTCAATTAGACTAGATTTTACCAAACGGTTCAACTAGACTTGATCGAACGAAACTAAATGGTTCAATCAAACCAAATCAAATAGATCAGACTGAATCAAACAAAATCAAATCAGGCCAAACCAAACCAGCCTAAACAAGATTAAACCAAACTAATTTAAACAAGACCAAACCTAATTGAATCGGTTTAGATAAAATCAAATCAAACTAAACCCACCAAATATAATGGTTCAATCAGATCGAACCAGACTAGATTAAATCAAACCAAACCTTGATGAACAAAGTTAAACAAGATCAAATCAAATCAAACCAAATCAGTCTAAAAAGATCGAACGATTAAATTAAACTGAACCAAATTAGGTAACATCAGATCAAATAAAACCGAATGATTCAACTAAACTAAACCAAATTCAACTAAAGAAGATAAATTAATTAAATAAACCAAATTGAATCGAGTCAAATCAAACCAAATTAGACCAAACAAAAGAAAAATAAATCAACCCAAATTTAAATAAGCCCAACCAAATCAAACTAAATGTTAAATACGCAATTTTTTTTATTTTCTGAAGTCTACTAAAAACATCTCAACAAAGTTCATAAGTTTAATAAACAGGACTCATAAGAAAAACTCCAATTGAAACATAATGATAAGGAATGGTGAGAGTATTAAAAAAAAAAAAAAAATCAAAACTACCGTAGAGGACAAAATGGTTTATCCAAACTGCACCAAATTATCTTGGCTCCATGGCATGTCGATTTCATCCTACCCTGACTATCTCCTAACAGTCTAATAATATATGACATGCTTTAGTACGCGAGGATTTGCAAGGTTTGTATTAAGAATAACAACGGAGTTAGGGACAGATTTAGCTAATCTTATCCATTCCTTGACAAGGAATTAGTTTATAAGTAAATTTAGAACAAGGATGAAAAATTTAAAGATAGCGGTTAACTGCATTTTAATTTGAATAATGTATATAAATAATAAATAGTAAGAATATTGAAATTACAAAACTTAATAATCTATTTTTTATTTCTTAAAAAGTGTAATTTAAATTTTACTGAATTGTTATAAGAATTCCTTTGTACCTTTGTAATGATTAGAAATGTGTGCGAAAAGTATATTATTAACTATATATCTATGATGTTCACATAAAAAGGAGAAAAAAGTTCCATAAAACGTCATGTAACATACTTTGATTAGATAATTAGATCGTAAAAATTCCTCTCATTCAAGAGTGAGATTCATACCATGAAGGTAGATAAAAGAATACATGTGGAAGAAGATTTAGTCCATTTACAAATATTTTAACCCAATGAGAACTCTTAACGTCCCCACCCACCAAAATTTAATGAAACTTGGACAAACGAGGGACTATGCTGTAGTTTATTGATTTAAGATTAACGCTATCAAACATTTATAATATCAATAACTAATCTTAATTAATATTTTTTTAAGAGGACATGATCCAATTAGTGATTTTTTTTTCTTGCAGGAGATTGTTAACAGCTAAGAAATCAAGTGTGAGTGGTCTGCCTCATCCACTTCGTAGCTGACCACTTCTCCCCAGAGATTACCGCACATCCTCCATGCACACTTTTCGGATCTGATTGACCATCCAGTCCCTGCCAAGATCAAATACACAATTTTTCCACCGTAAAGCTTCGTCTGATACATGCACAGCACAAACAGTTACAGGCTCTCCATCATTCAAAATAATCTGACCATTCACATTTTCTATCACAAAAATACTACGTATGCCCTACTGATAAACCAGCTAAAGCCATATAATGAGTATAGATTGAAAAAATATATAGAAAAAAAAAAGAAGCTATAAGGGCATCTCTATCCGTGATTCTAAAATTAATTCTTCCTATATAGCATGGGTTCTTGACAAGATGTTATGGTAGGGCAAAGATCATATCAAGCACCAGTGCTTTTTGTGTGTGTATATTTATGGGGTCAAATGCTACAAAACAAAAACAAAACAAGTTTATGTAATTAAAAAATGTTAATATTAATAAAATCTAGGGAAGCAGGATTATTGGTGGGACACATTTAGTAAAAATTTTATGATATGTTTGGTAGGAAGGAGGGGAGGGAGTGGAAATAGCAACAATGAATTGAATTTTGTTTGTTTGGCGGGAAATAAAAAGAGTGGGGAGAATTAAAAAATGAGTTGATCTCACCTTAGGGAAACCAAGAAAAGACTTTAAGAAACAATAAGCGGAATCACATGAAGAAGGTGAAAAAGAATTCATCATGAATGCCTGCACTGCAGTGTGCCAGGCCTTGCCGGACACACAAGAACCCAACGCTTACACACTACAGCTTGTCACATGACAACATACTTTCAGAGATTAAGTATGAGTTTAGAAGAGGAAATTCTGAAAAAAAGCCTCAAGATCCTGAAGATCAATACTTTTGCAGATCATGACTGAAGACTCTTCCTATAGTTCTTCTAAACCCTTCTTCTCTTTTATTTTAATTAATGCTGTATCTTGATCAAGGTCTTTTGTGTTTGATATTTGTGATGTCTAAACTCTTAGGGGATGCTTTTGATGCCATCATCTAACATGATTCACTCTTGTAAATTCCTTTTGTTAATTGATAATTTTAATTTGTCTGTTCATATCCAATGAAGGCGTAGGAAGAATAGACAATATCTAAGGAGTCACTACAAAATCTATGGCAAAGGAAAGAGAGTAGGAAAAAAGAATTCAAAAAATTCAGATGCTAATAAAGGAGGACTAACAAGGGCTGAGGCCGATGCCAAGGCCAAGGAGCTTGAAGAGGAGAAGGAAGAGTACAAATTATATTAGAAAATTAGAGAGCATTCTTTTATGTAAAAATAATATTCGTTCTTGTTTTATATCATGTTGGAGAAATCTATTTAACATATCTAAACTAAACTTAAGAGTAGCTTTCTTTAATGTAGACTTGACCATAGGAAATTAATTCTCTTGTTGGCTAAAATCATTACAGGGATCCTAGCCTAGGATTCAAGATTCAAGCTCATGGGGATAGAGGCATTAATGATGAAATCACGACTTCATTGACTTCCCTAACTAACTTGCGAGCTTCCCCTGAAAGCTACTCAAGTAGGAGCTGCTTGGCCCTTTTGATTAGTTGTCTAGCTTCCTTATAACAAACTCGTAAAAGCTTCCTCTAGAATTTAGATTATTACACGTCCACAATCAATGTATTTCGACCTTAGTTAGCTTCTCCAGCACACTTCTAGTGGGGTTTAGGCTATAAATATAAGTATAGGTCCTCTTAGTAAATCACTTTAAGATGATATAAAATTCTAGAATATTTTTGTGAGACTTGTAAGAGTTCTCTCTTGAAGAATTTGTTGTTCCCCCTTCAGTTTTTATCTTGAGCTCTCCTTTGAGGAATTTGATCTTCTCTATTTGGTTTTTATCTTGAATTCATTTTTCCTCTTTAAATTTTTCCAAATCTTAACTTTTAACCTTTGTTTTCTTGTTTGTGTTGGCCAAACCCATTACAAGGTTTCTCTTGAGTTTTCTTTGGCTGCTTAGTTGAAAAGACTTAGTTGATAGATTGTTCCCAAACGCCATGGGTTTCTCTTGTATTCTTGAATTTCTCATTAAAACTTTTTGGTTACTCTTTGCTTCTTATGCTTACACTAATTTGTTTGGATAATTTATTTACTTTTTGCAGTAATTGTTTATTAGATAGCATTAACTTTAGCAATCTTTCGGGAACAGACCCAATTCATCATTCTATGACTTGTAATGACACATGCACTTGCAGATGATCAAAGATACGTATTGTATCTCTAGGCCCTAAAGGTACAATCTTCAAAACATAGAAAAGTACTCGAACAAATAAGGACGTAGTTGTTCCTATTTCATAATTAACACGAATAATGTCCATAATAAGCAAAAAAATTGCACTGACCATACTCCAGAAAAGCACTGCATTTCCTTTAGTTGGTTTGACTGATAGCCCTTGGACAAGTTTCCCACCACAGCTACATTCACCTGAACCAACCTGAATCACATTGTAAATGATAACAGCAGCATCAGCAAAGTCAACATATCCAACGAGAGTGACAGATAGAACAGGCTAATACATAACACAAAATAGGTAGCTAATACTAGCATGTTACAAATTGACAATATTTCTCATGGTAAAGATAAAATCCAAATAGAGCATTCAGCAACAACCAAAATAGTTAAATAACAAATTCCAGAAAACAAGAAGCTTACCATTGGGAAATATGTTTCTCCTCCTTCAACATTGTCACTTAAATACATAAGCATTGTGGCTATCCTCTGCCCACCACGCTTCAAGTTGAACTGTCTCGGAAAAGAAAGGCAGAACAGGTTGCAAATGGGGTTTTATAGAAGCCACTTCAAGGAAATTCTTACATTGACAGTAATTAAAAATTAACAAAGAGAAATACAGCTTACAGTATCAGAAAAATAGTCATGATGAGGTTTGTAATATTGATTCTTCTCGTACCTGTGCTGCTGCAGATGTTAGCCTTGATACTAAGTAAACCCATCTCTTGTTCAGATATAGATCGAAAAAATAAGTCATATTCTCACCTCAGGACTTGCATAAGCTCTCCATTTTCAATTGGTATTTGGGAATAGACAGAAATTCTTTTTTCAATTGCCTAGAAGAGCAAGGTGAACATATTTATCAGACTGTACAGTCAATGTTATTCAATAAAGTATGGCTTTGTATAAAAAAAAATATACAATGTTTTCAAGGAATCTAAGAGGTTTATACCATGATGAAAAAACAGAGTAAAAGTATTCTAGAAATACAGAGATTGAATTTATTATGATTAAGTGGTGCAGCTTCACACTTAACACTTGCAGGTCCTTCTAAAGGACGACAGTAAATACTAACTAAACCTGTTCATATGTTTAAAACTGAATCTTTTAACTGGTTCACTGGAATCCAAACTCGCTCTGAACTGATTCACTGAAATCCAAACCATTTCGGTTCTGAAAATTGCATCATAATAGCAGTTTGGTTTGGATCAGTTATTTATCGAGAACCAAACCATGCCCACCTTTGATCTAAATGATGGCAACATTTGTAATTTTTTGATGATCAGATTTATGCATTTAGGAATCAAAATAACACTTCATGATTGTGATGCAACGAAACCCAAACTTAAGAGTAAATAAAAGAGAAAAATGTATTTCAGAGGGCTTCATTACACATCTCTTGTGATTCCTCATTTATAATGATAGAATAATGATACAATTATTAGAGGGAAGATAAAAGGTCTAAAGCTTGAACTAGAAACCTAGGTATAGAGATAAGTACAATTCATAGATATAACATAAAACTTTTTAATACAACTACTCTAAACCTATATTTAATACCAATTTAACACTCTCAATTGTATGTACCTAGCTTCGAACAAATAAATTTAATTTGAGGTCTCCTTAAAGACTTTGTTATGTTTAACTAGAAAAACCTAGAGAGGACCTTCAATCATGCTAGATAGGAGGACCTAGGGACTAGACTACGGCACGAAGGTCCGGTGGCCCTAACAAGACGCACAGGGACGTTAAGGTGAGGAGAGAGCAGCACGTGGTTGTCACGCATGAGGTAGCAGCGAGGAGAGTTTGGGCGCGTGGAGGAGCATCATGGGGAATCTCTACCCAAGACCAGCTGGGTTGGTTGTCGTTCAGATAGGCGATTTAAATCCAGTGGTCATCGGAGAAAATTGTGATGGTGGCCAACGACAGATACTACTGTAGACCAGTAGAGCGGGTTAAGATTAAATAAAATAGAAAACTGTATTTTAGAGAGCTTAATCACACCTCTTGCGATTTCTTATTCATAATGATAGTGTATTGATACAATGATTAGAGGGAAGATCAAAGGTCTTAATCCTTAACTAGATACAACTCAAAGGTACATGGAACAACTTTTTAATACAACTAATCTCAACCTATATTTCATATCTATTCTAACAACGTGAATCTGTAACAACCATAAGGCTAAGAGGGGAACCATCCCTCAAAAGCTAGCTCAAGAGGTTGGAGAACCTCCTACCTTATAAGGCCTCCCTGGTAAGGAGACCTCCCCAATGTGGGACTTGTTACAGAATCACTAATCCCTAAAGAACTATAGATTGGTTTGGTACAAACTTTTAACTTTCAAAAACCAAATAGGTAAGAGGTCACTAATAACCACCAACAAGGATTTGTATTAATCAGCCAGTTCCATGCCAAAAAAATGTTGTGTGTATTTTATGGTCACTATATGGTGCAGTCCATGTTTTTTACACTGCTTTAATGACTGAAATAAAAGACTTGACGAGAAAGCATAATTGTTAACTTACTTGTACCATAGGATATTTTCTCTCTTGAGGATTCAAAAACATACCAGAGCTAGTCCTGACATCACTCTTGATTCCCTGCACAAGATAGAAATATCACATTTAATGAAGAAATACATGCTCATAGATGCAAATGACCTCATATCTTACTACCGCCACATTTCCACATTAGTTTTATAATGGATTTCCTTTTCTTCTTAATCCAATTATGCAATGATAGAAGCAACTAAAAGTAGTTGTTTGGCCATGTTGGAAGATGCAAAGCAATTCTTGGTATTTTTCATGGTTGGCGAACAGAATTGTGTTTTAGCGGCACAAATTTGCCATTTTTTGTGCAATCATAGAAACACTTATTAAAATTTTTTTTTGCAAGACTCAAATTCTATCTCATGACCTAGAATTTATGGATGATTATGATCAATCAAAGTGAAACTTCAAACAGAAACTGTCAATGTACCTTTCCAGTCTTCGTGTCTACCACAGTTGAAATTTGCAAGCGAGGGAGAGCTATAGCCCTGAGATAATCACATTCCTATAAAGATAAAATAATTTTAATACACACATGACCATCATCACCATTCAGCATAAGAATGTTTTTAAAAGTACTGCTATTTGCCCAGGTATTCTACCTCAAGAAACATTTTAATAATGAAATATCAGCTTTTAAAAGGGAGAGCATACCTCTAAACTCAGGAAGTTATGAAGTAATATAATTCGAGGAGACCAGCTAAGCACTTCAGGTTTGACCTACAATTGAGGATCAGATGGGAATAATAACCAAAATTAAACATGAAAATCTATTATTTTCTCCAAAAAGAGAGTATAAAAAAAATTCACTGAAAAAGGAAAATAAACTGGTTATTCAGATGGTTAAATTAATGAATCTAATGCAAGCTGGAACACACAGAATAACATCAAAACTTTAAAGGTCAAATAATAAGACACAGAAATCATGTATCATAACAGAGATGTTGGTCATTCCGAGTGCAATCAAGTATTCTTTAACCAAGTATTTAATTGACCAGAGAAGAGAACTTTAACCCGGTAATCTTTTCAATTAGGCAATTTACTTTTACATCAGATATATAAACAATAATATTTACTCATTTTATTTTACCTGGAAGTCCGTGATTATATCAAAGAGGGTGAAACTGAGAAAACATGTAAATATAAAAGTTTAGCAGAAGTAAGGGGGACAACAGACATACATATCCAAGGCGTAAGATCTCCGCTTCCTTGTCATTATTCCAAAAGGGAATACCTAAAAAATCAGAAGAAATGGTTGAAAAAGAAGTTCCAATGATGAAAATTGCATGTTTTTAGCAACTTTAAAATTATATAAATACACTGACGGAATAACTAATAACAAAGATACTTTTATACAAAAAGTAAAAAAAATAAAAAATACAATATTTAGAGGACTCAACAACGAAAACTTTGAAATTCAGTCAAGGAATGAAATAAAACGATTGATACAGTAGTACAATTTTTTTTAGGTAAAGCATTGTTCATGGCGGAAACACACAGAACTAATTGTATCCTGCATGTGATAAATAAATATTAGACACCAAATGCTATAAAAGATATACTCGTTGCGAAATTCTACAAAAGCAATAACTCTTATACAGTAAGCAAAACAAAAATAATACTCACCTCTTGGAAATTGAAGGTACCTGTCACCTTCTAGTCCACTCAATCTTCTAAAAGGCAAAGAATCAGAGCCTACATGAACCAGTTAGGCTACCAGAGCATAAGAATAGTAATCAAACATACAAAAGTCTAGGTCAAGTACCCCCTATAATTAATCCCCTATTTGTTTGATTTCAAATTGTTGGAAGTAATGTAGAAATTAGGATATCAATCATGTACTCCCCCTAAAAGCCTAAGCTTTTAAAGGGGTTGGTTCATGGCATGGTGTTAGAGAATGTCTGACCAAGTGGTCTTAAGATTTTAGCATAATTGGTTCTTGACCTACCTATTGTCGTTAATTATTAAGAACAGGGGTAGAATGAGAAGAAAGGTAGGATATGATACCGTATGAGTCTTCCAATTTCCGTATGATAGCCAATTGAGAGAGAGCACCTGCAGTATAATTGGGGAACAGAATGGTGAGTGTTAATTAAAAAGCAATAGGATATTATTGTGGAGATATGTGATGATCGAGGCCGGGACGGGAAGATGGAAGAGTTAAAAGCAAGAGTTTAAACAAAAGTGCAGGGGAGATAGTTATAGTTAGTATGGTAACGCTCTGATCCACGTGCAGTTGGAAGCTACAGGTCTCTCTATGGGTAGCTTTGTTTTGTGCTTTGAGAAAATTGTGAAATGTGGATCACGTGAGAGGAATTGAATCCATGATCCGAGTGGGTTTTGGGGATTCGTGAAGATGATTGCAATAGAAGAAAAGAGAAGAGAAGAGAGGAGAGGAATACCTATAATCATTCCGACGGTGACAAATGTGAGAAGACCGAAGACGATCCTCATGGAGGGAGCCATGGAGCTGAAGATGAAATGTCTTACGGTCTGAAGTGAAGAAGAATGAAAAACCGCTTTGTAACGCCCATTGCTTTTATGCTCCCACACACCGCTTCCTTCTTTCTTTCCTCTACCAATTCTACTCTTTTTCTCTCTTTTCTACACATGTTATTACCAAATTATTATTATTATTATTATTATTATTATTATAATCTCTGTTTTTATTTTTATAAAATATGGTAATTTTTGTTTTAGTTTCCTTGATATATTTTTCTTTTATTTCTCTCTCTTCAATTTTTTTATCCAAAACATTGATTTTTATATAAATAAATAATTAACAATTATTTTTATAAAAAAATTAATAATAAATATAAGATCATGTCAATGTACCATAACAAAAAAAAAAAAAATATATATATATATATATATATATATATATATCTAATTTTATGTGTGAAATATCAAAATGTTCCTATACTAACACCATCGTGAATATTGGTATATTTGTAAATGTGCTCCATATCAATTATCCACCCATTACAAACTAATATATTGTGAATTTACTATAAAATGTGAGTTAAATAAGTTACTTTTAATTTGCACTGCATAGGACTTAACTTTGACTATTTGTTAATCTGGTAGAATTTCTTGAGAGTTCACGTAGTTGCAGGTATTATTTTCTCCAAGAGGTAAACACCAAGGGTGTGAAAGTAGAGGCACTGATGAAGAAGATTTGAAGATCTTGTTCTTTGTCTTGTTGGTATGAAATAAGTCATACAGCCACTTATTTCTCCAGGAGGTAACCTCCAACGAACAAACTTGTTCCTGCTGCGAAATTTGTTGGTGTTAAGTTAAGTTAAGCAGCATAGTGAACAGTGGAAGAGTAAATAGTCACATCAAGTGGCTAACTAATTAGAGTAAAATATGCGAAATTGTAAATCGAGTAACAAAATTTGCGAATAAAATAATTAATTAGGTTGTGAAATCGTGGAATGAAGGGTTATGTGCGAAAAAAACGAAGATTGTGTTGATAAAGAGATAAGTTTAGACGGTGAGAATAGGAGGCGAATGAGAGTATAGAATTGACGGTGCAGAGTAAAGTTTGGCATAACGTGAAAACGAAGAAGATAGAATTGTGATGTGGAAAAGGTGGAAATGGTTGGCAAAGAGGGGAGGGAAGAGCATTTTAAAATGCACAATCCAATAATGAAAGAGTTTTTGTTGGCGCCACGAAATTCCCGTGGATGCGAGCAACCGAGGGAGGCAGAGGAGAGAGGAAGCAAATGTCATTCTCATCGTCACAGCTGAGACAAAACGAATAAACGATCAAAACGGAACCGATTCAATCTTTGCCATCTCTCCTCACCTGAGTTCGTCATCAAAAATGCCCTCCCCTTCTTTGCCGGTGGCCCTCCTCCTTCTCTTCTCCTCCTTCGCAGTGGCCGCCGCCGATGAGGACTCCTGCAATCACGTTGCGCAATTGGTAATAATAGTTCATCCCAATCAATCCTCAAATATATGTGTTTCTTCAATTCTTTGAATCTTCAAAATGAAACAATGCATTGTGTTTCTGTCATGTATGATAACAATAACAATTACGATATAATAATGAACGTGTTTGCAGGTCAAGATAAAGAGCTGGATTGATGGGAAGGAAGATAAAGAGTATAATGGTATGACTGCAAAATTTGGCTCTAATTTGCCTGACACTGCTGATCAAAAGACCAAAGCTCCTGCTGTTTTTTCTGATCCTATGGACTGCTGTTCCGCCCCAACCGCCAAGGTTTCTTTATCATTCCCTTCCTTCATATCCATCTATCAACTGTTTCCGCTAACTTTACTCATTTTCTTACTCCTCTCAATTGGAAATCTGTTCATAATAAATCAGCTTCCTCAGTAGATGCTTCTGCATTCTCCCTTTTGCAGTTATCTGGATCAGCTGCTCTCTGTGTACGAGGCACTTGTGACTTCACAACTAAAGCTACATTTGCGCAGTCCGGAGGTGCTGTTGCCGTGTTCATAATAAACGACGCAGATGGTATATTTTAGCACTTTACATACAAGTCCAGTTTATGTTTAATCTGGACGAAGAACGTATATTAAACCTATATAAAGTGTTCACGGTAACTCATTTAGTTACATTAAACGTTAGTACTTTGTATAAATGGAATTATATTATATGCTGATATTGGACTCTTCTTAGAGATATAAAACATTAATCAGCCTTCACATAACACCTTTAGATTTTAGGAGGATTGGTCCTAGTTTTCACACAATATCACAAAATTATGTTGTTTATCATACCAGTCAGCAGTGCAGTCATACCAAATAATATTAAATCATGTTGTTTATCACAAAATAATATTATTTGCCGCTAGTTATTATTTGTTTAAGAAAACATAAAGATCGGTTTAGATAATAAAGTGTACAGAAGAGGATAATCACTGATCAGGTATCAGGTATCTGTCTAAGGCTATTCCAAAATCACAGAGATTTTTATGCCATTTTACATTTTTAATCTGTTTTAAGTCAATAAAGTTTTATATGATCATATTTGTCTGAAATTTATCTGTTTATTTTATATCAGAACTCTTTGAGATGGACTGCACCAGCAATGACACTAAGATAAATATTGCAATTCCAGTTGTGGAGATAACAAAGTCAATAGGAGACACTCTCAAACCTTTGACATCTAAAAGTAAAGGTCAGTCCTTCAAATTTTAAAACTTCTATTTGTAGTTTTGTACTACTACTTCGTTTAAGACAAGTTTTGTGTTTGATGCTGTATTTCATTTTATCATATAGGTCTAGATGCATGTAATAATAATAATAATAACAATAATAATAATAATAATAATAATAATAATAATAATAATATAATAGGGCACCAGAGATAAATAGTTAGGGATGACAAAACGGGTTAAGCCCAGCAGGGCGGGTTGGTGTTTTTAGCCTATCAGTCCGCTTTGGCCCGCCCCACCAAGCCCGCCAACCCACCAGGTCAACCCGTGGGATGGGGCGGGCCAACCCGCCTCATTAATAAAAAAATAATTTTTTATTGTAATAAAGTTAATTATAAAGATAATATATAAAGTTAAAAAGTTTAAAAAGAGAATTAAAAAAGTTTCACTCTTACAACAAATATTCTCCTTACTTAAACACAACTTTCTCTCTTGTGTTCTCCTTATTCATCCTAAGCACTAATTATTTTTATTCTTATGACTTGAATTAAAGGTGTAAGAATTACTCGAATAATGTGAAGTTTTATCAAATAAAAAAGATATAGGTATTTGAATTTTTCAATATAAAAAATATAAATTTTATAAGTTTTAACGTTATATATATATATATATATATATATATATATATATATATTTGTTATTATTTATTATTATGTAAATTTTATTATTGTTCTAAATTATAATTTCTTAAAATAATATATTGATTTATATTATTAAATTGAATTATTGACAAACAAATAATAATTTTATTATTAAATTTATTGAAATCTTTTATTTAAAAAAATAAAATATTTTTTTCTAAATTATGGCGGGCCGACCCACCAACCCGCCAACCTCGTCCTTGGCAGAGCGGACCAAAGTCTACGAGTCCATCATGACTATAACGGATCAGTCTGTCCCGTCCCGCCCCGCTTTTGACGAACCAAAGGCAAGTCAGGCCAAAACGGGGCGGACTGACCTGTTTTGCCATCCCCATAGTAAGTTAAATGTAACATGGAAAACAGTAACCAGATAAGCTATTTTCTAGCACATAATCCTAATAATAAGTAAATAACTATACCTCAAAAAGAAAATAAGAAAAATAAGGAAAAAAAAATGTAAAGATAACCTGTGATATTTTTCTGAAATATCTATGATATTTTATAATTCTCTCAAAGTTCATAAATCAATATCATCCTCTTGTCGATGTGTTCTTGATAGCAATAAGAAATCCATTAGTTCTTAAAAAAATAATCATTGAACCAGTAAATTTACTTATTCAGAGTTTAAAAATCTGACCATAGTTAAGCTGAGTTCATAAAATAATACTTTTTTAGTTTTTTAATATAATAAAATATAAAAATATTTAAAAAAATATCATTATATTTGTAAGTTCAGAATATTAAAAGTTAAACTTCCCTCAAAAGTTCTTCAGTGTTTTGAATTTGATTTCTAAAATCTATTTTGTTTGTATTATTAAATTCTGGTACAGTTGCAACCCTACTCATGTTTAATGAGTTTACATGCATTGTACAATTGCAAATGAGGAAAAAAAAAAACAATAGAGATTTTGATGCAAGAAATATATTAAAAATAAAAACTTGTTCGAGTTAAAATTGTGATTGGAAGGAGGAAGTAAGCCAAATCTAGGATTCTGTAATTTTTAGATCGTGACCATGGAAAAGAAAAGGAAAAAAAATCTAACCCAAAATAACACCATTGATATCTGTTGATCAAAATGTCCACACCGCATTTTTCACCGGAGCAGTTTCAAGGATATAACCATGGAAATAACAAAAAATAGAGAAATTAAAATGTCATGATATTCTTAAGACAAATAATATCGTTGTTCGTTGTCCTTATTCCATAATATTCAAAGATAAGTCATCTATATCACTCCCTCAACAAGTTATCAACTTGGTAAATGAATATCAATTAAAGTTCTATAAGATCTTGGAGCCTTACACAGGTATGCCTCCATCCAACTTCTCTTTGATGAAGTGTTTATGTCAGGAATCGGTTATGGGTAAAGCTGATGACGAAATTGTTCTCACTAAACAATGTCATTAGACCCTCATATTTAACTTCGAGGTAATCAAGGATAATCTTCCTTCACAACCCCTTTGAAACTCGGAAGGATCTATTTATTCACAATTTTAGTTAAATAGCATATAAATGGTAATTATAAACGTGAATAATTTATATGATAAATTATGATCTCCAAGTCCAACTTATAATGTCACAATTAAGGATTTATGATATAAATTTATCAATTCACACATTGTTCATTAATAAAGATATAATTATATAATCTTATAATTGAAAAGTTATTTGTAAATTTTATGATAGTTTAATCAAACTCATTTCCAATGTTTCCATTTTCTTAAACTAGAAATTACAAAGAAAAACAAAACATGGCTTATACCTCTAAAAATTTGAAAATGAAATTTATTTTTAAAAAATGAAAACAGAAATAAAAACCGAAAGTGTTTTGTGAAACCAAACGGCCCCTTATTCTACATGTTTCAGAAACATGATTCAAAGGCTTACTCAAGGAGTGGAGAAAGTCCCTAGATGGTCAATATCCTCCCGATTGAAAGTTTTATTATTTTGTTCTAGTTGAGACATAGAGGACTCTTCTGCTATGTTTTCCTTATCAAAATTTGTATGATTCACTACTTCTAAGTAGAACCCTTGATTTCCCCATGTGATCAAGAACTTTCTCCCTTCCGTGAAGCTTATAGCATGTGTCCTTGGTGTGATCTCACCGTTTGCAGTAAATTGCACCTGGGCACTGCTTCATACTAAGTCCTGGACTCTTGCCTAACATGTACTTCTATGATGAATTAATTGATTAAACATTCAGTAAACAGTGAAATACCCAATTTATATTAAAAAGATGCTTAGAGGAAACTGATTATCATTAACTTTGTCACGGTGTAAAACCAAATGATACTAAAGGTATTTATAGGTTAAAAAAGTGCATTATGTTATAACTACTCGATAAGACAATAAATGTCTTAACGGTTCAATGATAACAAAAATACAACTCAATTAACATTTATTTTTATCCAACAAAACTCTTCCGTCCAACAAAACTCTTCCGTAAAATTAAATGTTTATCTCCCACTAATTAAGATAAGACAAACACCGATCTAATCCGTTTCCTCATATTGAGATCGGTCATCAACCGACCTGACTGACTTAAGTGCTTCTTCCATCCTTTATCCTAGATCCAACTTGTTATTAACTTTTCATCTCTTTTCTGATTGAGCTCAGTCAATAGTCAACCTAAAAGTTTCGCATATCTCTTCTTGAATATCCACTTCACACCAATACATCAGTCATAACTCAATCATTACCCATATGTTGTTGCGTTCTATAACTCGGATCTTCTCATCCATAACAACTTGGATACTCTCGTCCACAACAACTCAACTCGACTTTTCTCATCCATTACAGCTCAGTTCTTCTCGTCCACCACAATTCGGATCTTGTCAATTTGGAATCTACTACTTGGACTTAGTTTGGAATTCTCTCCCAAAAATAGTCCAAGTTGCTCATTCACTTTATACTCAACATTTTTCTAAAACAAGGTCTTCGACAGTTTACCGAGCACACATTCTTCGCACAGCCTCTTCTCACACTCCATGCTCGGCAAACCGAATATCATGCTCTTCTTCGACAGCTCGACTAGACCACCAAAATTCAAGTGACCTCTACATTAAGTTTTAGACACCTCTCTCGAATACTCTTCAACTACTGCTTATACATCCTATTTTTCCCCATCTCAACTTCGACAATCAACCTTCTGAACTTGTCCTTCAATTGTATTACTCGGTCTTTCATGAATGCCAAGTATCCTCTCTCCATTAGTTGTCTTATATTCAAAATGTTACTCTTGAGGTTTGGAACATAATACACATCTCAGATTGACCCGACTAGGTTATCCCTCTACAAAAAGTGAATTGTACCTTGGTCTTTTATCAAGATCTTTGAAGCTTCTCCAAATGATACACTTCCACCCTCTACCTTCTTTAGTTCTTTAAAAAGATATTTGTCCCCACACATATGGTTGCTCGCACCCATATCCAAATACCATATCAAGTTGTAATCTGCTCCCATGTGTTCTGTCGAGTTGTATCAATCATTAACAATAAAGGTTTTTCTATCTCCTCTGTAAAAGAAGTTTCTTCCACATTTTTCTTACCTTAGCATTCTTTCGCAAAATGCCCTATCTTCCACAATTATAGCACTTGTTCGAGTAACAATCTTTTGCATAGTGATCATATTTGTCACACTTAAAACACTCAACATTTGATTTACTTGCTAACTGACCTCCTCTTTAACCACGTCCTCTACCATGCTAATTTTGTTGGTTTTCCTTTTCCTCCTCACGATCTCTACCACCTCGGCCGCCTCTACCACCTTGGCCACCTCAACCACGTCCTCGTCCTCTACTTAGAGTGTTCTAAGAGTAGAGAGTTTTTTCACCTGTCTCACTCTTAAGCACTTGAATAGTTGTTTCCCCCTTCTTTTTCTTCTTTCGGTGTTCATAAGCTTAAGGTAAATCGACCAGCTCCTGCACCGTAAAGTTGGATAGGTCCTTCAATTGCTCTGTTGCGCACACCATGTTCTCAAAATTATCAGTCAATGATCTCAAATTTTCTCCAAAACTCGGTCTTCAGAAAACTCTTCTCCATTCCGACTAAGTTGAGTTGTCACTGCTTCAACACGTGCAACATTCCAACTCTTTCATTCTCATGCTTTTCATCTCATTATGTAATGTTTGCAGCCTCACCTATTTGACTCTGTCATCATTTTTGTACGCTCTTTTGAATGCACACATGCTTCTTTTGAGGTTTTGACACTTGCTATCTTCTCAAAAATTGATTCATCAATAGCTTGGTCGATACAACATGTATAAGGTTGTGTTATCCTTCCCCCGCTTCTTTTTCAGTGCTTTGTTCGCGGCTTCTGACATTCCTTCAACATTTTTTGGTCGTTCAAACCCATCTTCAACTACCTCCCAAATGCTTTGGGATCTCAAAAACGCCTTCATCTGGAAACTCTAGTTATCATACATGGCCATTTTCATCAACTGGGGCAGAGCCATATTATTGTCAGACTAGCCATCTCCCTCTTCAAGCTTTCTCACACTCAACACTCAAACCTTAACTCTTGATACCAATTTGTTAAAAAGAGGATTAGAGGAAACTTAATATTATTAATTTTATAGTGGTGTAAAACCAAATAATACAACAACTATTTGTAGGTTCAAAAATGGGCATTCTAGTCTAACTATTTGACAAGATAATAAATGTCGTAATTGCCCAATGATGACAAAAAAACAACATTCAATTAACATTTACTTTTACCCAACAATTTATAGCACTGCGTTATTTTGATGGGAATATATGCTTTTCTGTCCTTTCTGCCACATAAACACATGCATATGCTCATTTACTCACATAAATCCATTAAATAAATAAGATAGAAGAAAAATGTTATTGCTTTCTCAATATCAAGTGCATTTCTTGTACTAGATGCCATGTTTGTTTCTTCATGATTTACTGATGGTTGATTCTGAGTTATTCCTTTCAGTGGAGGTTTTGCCATATGCTCCAACTCGCCCAGTTGTAGACTACTCAGTTGCATTCTTGTGGCTGATGTCTGTTCTAACAGTTATATGTGCTTCTGTATGGTCTGATATAACTGCTCCTGATCAAATCGATGAACGCTATAATGAGTTGTCTCCCAAGGTTTTTCCATGCAACCCTTATCTATCTTAAAGTTTATGATATATGCTCAAATGTGATCTTATGTACTTTTATTGTTTTTGACGTTACTGAAGTAATTTAAGTTCGATCATGATGCAAAGGTGTACTTCCAGCGACTAACATTGTTCCAATTGGACATTTGTAACCAGTAACGACAGACTGACCTTGGCTTGCGAGCTAACTTCTAACCTACCTTTCCTTTTATCTTTGACTGCCTTCAGTATTGCTAATCAGTTAGCTATTAGAATGGAGCTATGGAGAATGGTTTCTTCCATTCATTTTGTTTACTTAATTTGAATACATCTTTATGCATATTAGTCTGTAACAATAAACTTCTTGTTTGTTTGTTTTTTGTAGAGTGCTATGTCTGAAGCAGGGAAAGATGATTCTGAGGAAATAGTTAACATAGATGCAAAGGGTGCTGTCGTGTTCGTCATTACGGCTTCTACATTTCTTGTGCTACTGTTCTTCTTCATGTCGTCTTGGTTTATCTGGGTTCTGATTATACTCTTCTGCATTGGTGGTATTGAGGTGAGGTTGCTCATTTTAATGGATTTTACTCCTAAAGCTTATAACTAAAAAATGTCAAATTTCATGGTGTGCTCAAGTTCTTCATTCCTATTTTTGTCCATGAATAAATTACTGATTATATATTGTTCCAGTAATTTAGGATTTATTTTATACCAGAACACTTAATTTCCAATAATGTATCTTAGTCCTGTTAGATGTAGGCTGGAGCCCCTATTTAAGAGTGATGATCCTAACCGCATAGGATTCCTTCCATTTGAGGATTATGAACACCGAGACATGAGATCATGGACCCCGATATATGGGATCAATTATTCCTATATTTACTTTTTCTGATACGTTGATTCTTGTAGCTTATTCTGGGTCGAGAGTGTTTTTGGGTCAAGTTTGTGTTTTCAGATATTGGGCCTGACCGATTGGTGCATCGGTCTCTACCTGGCCGTTTGCATCAGTCTTTGATTGCATGCATCCAAAGCACGGTTTACCAAAGTATGGGTAATATGTACAGCTCCTCAGTCCTGAGTAAAGGGACTAAGGAGATGCCCGATTGGGGAAATCGGAACCTTAACCGTTACACAACAACACAGTCTCTCAAACCTGAGCAGAAGATGAAGTGACTCAGGAGATAGAGGATCGAGACCTCGGTCCTAATTCAGTTAAACATACATTGTTTAAATTGTGCTATATTGTTCTCGATGGATTTTGTTCTAGCAAAAAAGTCTTGGGTTATATTTCTCAACTCTTTCACCAGAATATTCAATGAATCTCTTTTTGTGTTGATTTGGACGTGTATTTATTGATTTCCTGTTAGCCTCCACATTAATGTGGGTTGGCCGTTAGTGTCCCATGTTACTAAATTGTAGGTCCGAGACCTTTTAAGTACTTAATAATTGTAGCTTAATTATGAGAGTATATTGCGGTTAGTTGACGATTATGATTTTTGGGCATTAGAACGTCATGGATCACGTTCGAGTCATTTGGCTCGGTTTCTGTCTGACTAAAGGGGTTGACCACATGGCCGATATATGGTATAACATTACACAGCCCCTAGTCTCAAGTCAAAGATGCCGAAGCTGGATGTCATAAGGAAGTTAGACTAGTACCGACCATGCATGGTATACACTATGATATGACACTATAGATTTCATAATCAAATTATAGAAGGGTAGGAAGGGGAGAGGGAGTAAAGTAGTTGAGAAGCCATATCCTGATTCTTTTTAACATATCCTGATATTATTTTCTTCTTTTTATCATATCCTGATATAATCTTCTTTTTATCATATCCTGATATTATATTCTTCTTTTTATCTCAAACATAATATAGGATAACTACGTAGCATATAACAAAATATCTATTGTGCAATAAACATCGAATAGTATAAAAACTTACCATACTCTTATTTTATCATCTTCCTCTTTACTCTTACATGTTATTGTATCATGTTTGTTCTGCCACTAAATAAGCAAACAGAGGAATTGAACCAAACACAATTGTAAAAACGATCTTAAGAATAAATGAAGAAACACAAAAGAGCTTTTAGGTAAGCTAATTTAAGGATTTTCTCCTTCTCCTTCTCTGTTTCAAAACCCTACAAAACATGAAAGTATCAAAGAATTTTATCTTCAATTTTATTGCTCTTATTGTTAACTTTACAATAGCTTTTAAGAACCAAAAAAACAGACCTAATGTTACATAACTTCTTGCGTGTGCGTTCCTTCCAAAACTCCTTCAGCAGCAAAGTCAACAACGGCTCCACATACACGTCATGCAAATCACTGTGCTAAAAAGCATTTTTCACATTTTTGTGAGAAGACTAATAGTGAGTGAAATCAAAGGTAATAAATAGGTGAATAACAGCGAGATTTACAGTAATTGAAAAAGTCTTGGAGTAGTCTACTCCATAAATTTGCCCATAACAGTTGGCAATGAACCAAGGATGGACTCATCCAGATTTACTTCGTTGTTTCAATGATCTGGAGTCTGTTTCTCATTGTATCTTTTTTGTCCTTGGGGGATATTTTGGTTGTCCTCTAGTTGTATTTTTATCTTTCCCTTTTCCGTTAACTGGTATGTTGATCTACTTGAAAGTTGAAGCCACAATACATATAAACTGCTGACAAGCATTTATATTCTGTTTTTCTTTTCTTATTTATTTGAAAAATCCTCTTTTCATTAATTGAGGTTTGCCTCCATTTTTAGGGGATGCACAACTGTATTGTAAGCCTCGCTTTAAGGTACAGTAAATATCTCCTTCTAACAAAAAGGGAAATCAATGTGTTTCTGCATGTTCTATCTTTCTTCATTTTCTTAAGTTTTTTGTCAAATATATGAGCAGGAAACGTCCAACTTGTGCCCAGAAGAATGTCAACGTACCTTTATTTGGAGAGGTTTCTCTTTTCTCGCTGATAGTGTTACTATTTTGCGTGGCATTTGCGGTTTTATGGGTTGTATTTAGGAAAGAATCATTTTCATGGTTTGGCCAAGATTTTCTTGTAAGTTCTACTTTCTAGTACGTGTACATAAGTCTTTCTATCATCATTCTGTTTCTAAATTTAAACTTTAAGACAGTGAGGCAAACTTGAAATGTATTATTGTATCTTACTATATGAAAATCAATCTCTTTTGTGGGAAGTTGGCAAATACTGCTCTAATCGGATGAGCTGAGTTATGGTTTCTAGCTTCGTGTATGCCCAGTTTTTATATGTTCATTTTTTACATAAAGAAAAATAAAATTGCGCACATTTAATTGCATCCACTTATCTACAAATAAACATATATGAATGCTCACATCAGATCATATGTTCATGCACAGAAATGTGATGCATATATTTTTCAGCGCAATCATTTAGTGTGAATGTGTGTACTCTTGTTAAGACAAAACTGGTCTCTTGTTTGATTCCGTAGTGAGTTTCCTTAGGCATTGTTCTAAAGAGTGGTAGGTTGTCTTCATTGTGGGTGTTTATTTAATCTTTTGTTTTACGCAATTTGCTTGAAATATGCTTTATTCTTGACAGGGCATCTGTTTGATGATAACAGTATTACAGTTGGCTCGGTTGCCTAATATTAAGGTACCTGAATGACTGTTTATATTATAGCTGTTATTTTCTTACTCATTTTGTTCCAATATCTATTGTTACATTATTAATGAATCTGATATCGTAGGTTGCAACGGTACTACTCTGTTGTGCATTTGTATACGACATCTTCTGGGTATTCATATCTCCAGTGATATTCCAAAAGAGTGTCATGATTACAGTAAGTCTTTGTGCATACTAGTGTAGTTCTTTAACTTGGATTGTTTAATTGCAGTTTGTACATTCAATATAAATCCCCTAATCGTATACCCCAAACCATACTGTTCTTTCCTTTCCTGTCATTATTTTTTGTTGTCACGGATATAGTTTCATTGGCCATCCGTCTTTCATCTTGCTGTAAATATCTAGGCTGTGTTTGACTCTCTTTTCAGTCTTTGGTTTTATTAACTATTTTTCAAAACTATTTTATGCTGCTCACACCAGTAATTTTTAACTCAATCTTTTTAAATTTTTAAAAAGCAAAACTCTGAAACAGATAAAAAATTATTATTCTTGCCTACTCTTTTTCTTACCACACCCATCCGCTTGACTGATTTGCAATTTACACGAAAATCCGTCTTCAGTCGTTTCTCCAAATTCGCATCATACACCGTGCAGTGCTAGCCGCTGTTAGCCTCAATTCACTAATTCTGATTATGTAGGGGAGGGAATGTAAGGAATGGCGGAGATACAGTTTCCAGTGAGGTCAATGACTCAAGGAATGAGTTCCGCCGTTCCAAAGTGTGGAAGATGCGGTTTTCTGGTGGTGATGAACTGATGATGCTTGAGAGAGACACATGTTGGTTTAGAAAATTCAATTTTTTTAACAAAACGAGTTTTTCATATCTATAACTAAAAACTACTTTTGTTAAATTCAATCAAATAGGCCATTAGATTCGACGTTATTCTTTTTCTATTTCTTTTTCTTTTTCATTCGCACTGCTGAAATGAAGTTCTTAAATTTATTATTTAAAAATGTACCTTGTGTTTATTTCACTGAAAAGGTGTCCTACAGTTATGAGTTCTGTTTTCTAGGTTGCTAAGGGTGACAAGGCCGGTGGTGAAGCAATTCCTATGCTTTTGAGATTTCCTCGTTTGTCTGATCCTTGGGGTGGCTATGATATGATTGGATTTGGAGATATTCTGTTTCCCGGTTTGCTTGTTTCGTTTTCCCGTAGGTATTGAATTCCTAATTTAGTCAAAAACTTTAATAAATGGAAGATTTATAAACTCGTTTTCACTATTGGCCATAGTTTTTTTTTTACTTTTTATCGTACATTTGACAAGATGCTTTGTTTTCAACGTATCTGTTATGGCTTTCGATTGTCTCAGATTCGACAAAGATAATAAGAAGCTGGGCCTAGACGGATATTTTCCTTGGTTGGTAATTGGCTATGGCTTTGGTAAGTTAGTCTGTAATATATTTTCCTCGAATGATAGGAAAATGAGATACTCTGGGGGTACTAGTAGATGTTCGATGTTGATTGGTCCTAGAGTTTGTTTCCTGTTTCAGGGTTGTTCTGCACATATCTGGGGCTGTATATGATGAACGGTCATGGACAACCTGCACTCCTCTACCTTGTTCCATGCACACTAGGAGTGATTGTGGTGTTGGGATGCAAAAGAGGTGAGCTGAAGAGCCTTTGGAATTATGAACCAGAGTTGTCTTCCTCCACATCCACCACCTCCTCAAAACAGCCTCCCGAAGTTTAGATCTTTCCTCACTCACTCTATTGTGTGCAACTGGGAAATGCTCACTCATTCATACATCAAGATCAGCCAAATAGAGATTCCAGGTGTACATAAAGACAATTCATTCCTTCCTGGACCTTCTGCATAACTCATAACTATTGCATTTTGTGCTTTAACCTACCATAATTCTATCTTCCTTCTTTCTCCTCTTCCAAAGGCAATCAAAATTCTTGGCTGCCGCTGCTGCTACTGTAATTTCTTTTTTTCTTTGTTTTTGTTGGGTTTTTGTTTTTGGATGAGAAGGATGGAAATGTAATTGAAGGCACAACTACCATACTTTCTCTATCAATCTGTTCTACCATCCGGCAACAAGTCCAACCAATCTAATTATATTTTTCTTTACATTGAATTCGTTTTACTAGTCCAACAAATAATTCAATCTGGCTGAATTCAATTATATAATAAAAAAATTATTATTTATCTAATAATTTTATATTTCATTATATGATTAATATTTTATATATTCTGTGAAGGTCTCTGCTGTGTATTTTCATTACAATGCTAACCATTCATTAAATATAAAATATTTTCATATATGGATACAAACATTAATTGTAGGTTTATAATTATTTATTATTTAATAGAAATTAGATGGAAACACCTTATTAGATAGAAAAAAAAGGATAGTTTTAATTAAAAAATTAAATATTATTAAACTCTTTATATATAATATATATATATATATATAATGTTACATATTTAAAAATAATGACAGCATTAATTTTTATTAACTTTTTATCATTATTTCAGACAATTAATAACCGTATATAATTTGTAGACTTTCTAAATTTAAAAATTATAGAAATTGAGCAATTGTAAGAGTAGTTTTACAATATTAGTTTATCAATAATGAATAAGTTTTATTAAATATTGTTAACCATAATATCAAATACTATAATCTGTATATTTGGTTTACTTTCAATTATTTTTTTAGTTATACATCTTTCTATTATAAATGAATTATCTTATATGTGGTTTATACACAAGGGAGATTAATCTCAAACCTTATCTCTTCTATATTCAACATGGTATTTAGAGCTTAATGTTATTTTGAAATTTTGTTTCCTTTGTTTACTGTTGGAGTCACCACCGCTGTCGGTTAAACTGATCTTCCACATCATAAAAGAGTTATTTTTGTTACTGGATATTATTTATTAATGTGAAAGTGCATGTCTAAGAAAATTGTGACAAGGAAAAACTTAGTATTTAAGTGTGTCCATTAGTGACACACCTCTCTTTCCTAGAAACTTAAAACTTACCTGGTATACTGGTTCACGCCGTTGTCACCACCTCCGCCGCCATCGAAACTGTCAGAGTTTCATTTTTTACCAGCAACATACAATTTTACTCCTCTTGATTAGACAACCATCGTGTCATTGAGATCACCACTATCAGAATTGGTCGTCTGTTGTTTTCTGCGCCATTTAGTCTCGACGGACTTACTTTGGTCTTCTCGTTTTGGATCTGTACTTCGTGGGTTGATTGGATTATTTTGGATTTTTTAGGGTTTGTTCTCTTGCCCTTCATGACTTCTTCCACTCCTTCTACTACTTCCAATTATGTTAATGATTCTTCTACGTTGGCATCTCACCGTGATAACCGGACTCGCCCTCATAAACAGGGAAAATGGTGTCTTAAGTGTGAACATTGTAGCAAACTAGGTCACAAGTTTAACAAGTGTTATGCATCACATGGTCATACTCCTCGATCTGCTACAGTTGTTCAGATCGATATTTCCCCACCTTTGTTTGTTGGGGATCTTCATTCTTCTGTTGCATCTTATATGAGGCAGACAATGTGAGACTTTCAACACATCCCCTTCAAGGAAGTCTGCTGGACCAGGCAAATGGTACTTTTGACCCACAACGAAATAACAACTCTTGGCCCAAGACAATAACCAAAAAAATATTAGACTTTAACTCTAATACCATGTTAAGGTTCCAACATAAAACCAATTGACATGAGACAGACGATGTGGGACTTTCAACAAGTTTAAAAACTTTGAAAAAGGGTTAGTTTTATCATAATGGTTTAAAAGAGTGATTTGTTGTTAAATAATGTGCTTAAATATTATAAAAAAATTGACAGTTTTTTAAATGATTGATTCCATTTAATATGAATAAAATATTAAAATATATGTTATGTCTCTTCAACATGGACTATGAGAAGAATAACTTACCGTATGTCTAAATTTATAATGCAATAGAAAAATAAAATATAACTCCATTAAGTATAGGTGAAAAAAAAATCAATTTTTAAATCAAAAGGTAAAAATAAAGAAAGAAAGAAATAACAAATAATTTTGTGCAATATTATGAAAGTCCATATAACAAAAAATTCTTAAAATTTTTTGTCATTTAAAGTTCTTCTTTTTAAGTACAAGATATTTTCATTAATTATATCTAGGTTTTTTTAATGCAACTCAAAAGGTGATGCTACTTAAGCACCTCAACCATAAGATGATGTCTTAAAGGCTAGCACTATTATGGAAGAGTTGAATACCAAACTTGATAACTTATATATGGTTTTAATTTTCAAGAGTTTACATCTTGACTTTGATCGCGTGCATGATCACATCTTGGTTGATGACCAGGTTCCTTCAATGAACAACTTAGTCGCGAGGCTTATTAGTGTATCCAACCTTATCAAAGATAAAAGTTAGATTGAGGTCATTGAAACTTCAATCAAGGTTGCTCCTCACAGACGAGAGAGAGGAAACAACAGTCAGGGAGGACATGGTGGTAGGAACATTCGTACTTAATTCTTTTCTTGTAAGAGAATGAGACACACACACAGGAAAACTATTACTCCTTACATGGATTTCCTGACAATATTACCATTGTTCATGTTTCTAAATCTGAAAAGTCAGATGTGAAGATTTTTTATGAAGATTATCAAGAATTTATGACATCCAAATCTTAAAATTTTAGTAATCAAGGTCAATCTTCTTCAATGTCAATTGTTTCAACAATATGCATTTTTTTTATTTGTGGAAGGTCAAGACCCATGGATTCTTGATTCAAGTTTCTTTGACCATATACGTGATTGTAGTTCCTCATTTTCCTTCATGTCATATCCTAAAATCCCTCACTTTATTATTGTGGCTAATGGATCCAAAGTGACATTTCAAGGAGTTGCTCAAGCTCCTTTAACTCCTTCACTAAATTTAAGCTCTATTTTTTCATTCTTAATTGTCCTTATAACTTAATTTTTCTAACTCAATTAACTCGTTCTTTGAATTGTTTTGTAACCTTTTATTTCAATTCTTTTATTATTTAGGAATACAGTATAAGTAGTCTGATTGGAGAAGGGCATGAATCACGTGGTTTGTATTATCTAAATCCAAGTGTTTTAGTGTCATGTCTTACTACTCCTAATTGACCATCCAAGTTTACCAAAATTAAGAGTGATGGTTCCTAATCTTAAACACCTTCAAGTTTTAGAATATGAATCATGTCAATTAGGAAAATATATTAGGTCTACATTTTCTAAACAATTTAAAACTTGATGTAATTTTTCTTTTTCCAATATTCATTTTTATATTTGAGGATCGAGTCGTGGTTCTTCTTTTGATTTTTGGTATTTTGTGACCTAAATTCTCCATATGTACTTGAGTTTACTTAATGAAAGACATATTTAAATTGCTATCCATTTTTGTGTCATATTTTAATGAGATTAAGAACCAATTTGGAAATATAATTAAAGTTCTCAAGAGTGATAATGCTAAAGATTTTTTTTTTTTTTTTTGCTTTTTCTTTTCAAGGCATTTTACATCAATCCACTAGTGGAAAGAAAAAATAGACATTTTATTGAGATTACACACTTTCTAATATTGAATGTTAATGTTCATATTCATCCTTTGAGAGATGTAGTTCTTACTACTTGCTTTTTTATTAATCAAATATCATCTTCTTCTCTTAAAAACCAAAATTTTCACTCTCTTATCTTTTCAGATGTTCCTCTTTATCATGTGTTCTCACGTGTATTTGGTTATACATATTTTGTACATAACATTTCTCTATCTTGATAAACTTAGTGTAAAGGCCAATAAATGTGTTTTCTTGGGATACTCTCGCCTTCAAAAAGAGTATAAATATTATTCTCCCTCCACTAAACGGTATTACATGTGTACTAATGTTACTTTCTTTGAAGACACACCCTTTTTTTCTTCTTTCATGGACGATTTCCTCTATTTAACAAGTTCTCCCTATAACTTTAGTGATCCACTTAAAATACCTGATCTTTCTTCAACTTTGTCTAGAAATCATATTATCCCTTTCCTCTTCTCACATATCAGCGCAGGATCCCTCCTACTTCTTTACTGATCCCTGAAGATCCTCATAATTCATATTCTTTTCCATCAATTTCTCATACCATGGACCCTTCATCCTCATCCCTCACTTTTGATTCTGCCTCTAGATGACCTATTGCACTAAAAAAAGTACTCGTTTCACTCGTAATCTTTTTTATTTATTTATAATTTTTTAAGTTATCATCATTTGTCTCCTTCATATTCTTATATTTTGTTTTTTTCTTGGCCAATATTCCTATTCTTAATACTATTCATGAAACACTTGATTATCTTAGTTTGCAATAAGTCATGATTGATGAAATGCAGGCTTTTGAGTACAATGACACGTGGGAACTTGTCTCTCTTCCTCCTGAGAAAAAGATTGTGGGTTGTAGATTGGTCTATTCAATTAAAGTCGGCTCTAATGGTGAGGTGGGTCATCTCAAGGCTCACTTAGTGACTAAAGACTACACTCAGATTTATTGTCTTGATTATTGTGATATATTTTTTTTAGCTAAGATTTTTACTATTTGTCTCTTTTTTGCTATGGCTGCTATTCGTCATTGTCTACTTCATTAACTGGATATTAAGAATATCTTTTTTCATGGTGACCTTGAGGAATAAATTTACATTGAGTAACCTCTTGACTTTGTTGCTCAGGGAGAGTCTA